ACTGCCAGCATTTCAGACCTGACTCAAAGTCAGAGGGGACGGTGAAGTTCTCCCTCGGGCAATATTACCAGTTGCTGCAGATTCCTCTCACCTTGCTACAAGATGGCATGGAGTTGCCAGCAGTGACCGACTCCGCTGCATGATTGTACTGACTGCCCGTGTGGCTCCTTGGCTTCAAGCTTCTTTCTGTAGATTTTCCACTACAAATTTCTCTCCAGCTGTCCCCTGGGAATGCGGCTCCTCTCCTTTTCTTCTGTTCTCTTCCTAGTGGTCACAATCAGCCTATCTTTTCCCTCTTCTGTCAAGTTGGATCCCTCAGAAATATGTCTTGTTACATGCACAAGATGGCAAACCATTTTAAGATTGTTTAAGGTGAAGAAAGATATGATTCAACTTTTGTTCTATGTTAGAAGAGCCTAAACAACATGGGAAAATAAATAGAACAAAGTAAAGGAAGACAGAAGTTGTGAGAATGAATGCATAATTCAATCATAAAATGAATATTAAAGGTAAATATATTTGAAATTATAACATTTGAACAGAAACTTTTCACAGTCAAAAAGTTAATTAAATAAGTAAATGGGAGAAGAATATTTCAGACGCATGTCAGAATCAGTGAAAAGACCCATGGTTGAAAAGATCAAATATATGCCTGTGGAACACCCAAGATGCCAATGTAACTTGAAAGAGTTAGACAAGTGGCAGAGCAGCAGGAGATGCAGTCAGCGATATGATGGAGGTAACAGTTCATGTTTAACTTTGAAAAACATAATAAGGAAATTACTGAGAATGAGTTAAGAAGCCATTCACAGGACAATTTTGAAAAGTTGGGTTACATCTTGTATTTTAGGTATACTGCTCTAGCTACTGTATTGAGGTGGCTACAAAAATTTATGGAAAATGGAATTAAAGATGAATGTCAAAAATAGAAACTTTATTTCTCATCATAAACTCCATCACTCTACATGAAGATACCGGCCATGAAGTTAATCCCTAAAGAACTGGGAGGTCCTAGGAATTTAACTATGTCAATAATGATTTTTTACTTTATTGTCTGAAGGAAAATAGGTGCCAATTAAGGATTTTTTAAGTTAAGAAAACAGAAACATAAACAAGCCAAATTAGGACTATAAAGTGGATGCATAATGATTTTCTATTAGAACTCTTCTAAAATTGCCTTTGTTTGAGCAAGGGAATGAATAGAAGCATTGCCATGGTGAGGAAGGACTCTCTGCTGAAGATTTCCCAGGTATTTTCTGCAAAAGCTGTGCCTAAATTTCTAAAGAAAAAGAAAACTCTTAACCAGGTGTTATCCTACTTTAGCCCTACAGAAAGTTAACAAACAAAATGCCATGAACATCCCAAAAAATGTTGCCATGATCTCTGATTTAGACCCATCTGCTTTTGCTTTGAATGGACCAATGCCACTTCTTGGTAAGCACTGCTTTTATTGTTATTTGTCTTTAACACATCATGGATAAAGTGATATTTTACTTTTTGTTTAATTCTTCAAATAAATGCTTCAGGATCTTGAACCCAATTGTTAAAATTCCCATTGAATCTCTTCCCTTGTCTGCAGGAAATTCGGGCACAAAGATTTTAGCATCCCTCAGACAGAATGTTTGATACACTTTAATTTTTCAGTCAGAATTGTGTAAACTTAACAAATTGAGATGCCTACGGTATTGGCTATTGTTTCTGCTATTAATCTGCATATTAATCAATTGTGCCATGAACAAGATTCATTTTTACCTCACAAATTGATGTGGATGAACTGTTGCTACTGGGATTCATAATACAAACGTGCTTCTAGAAATGAGTTATCCATTTATAAACTGCTGATTACTTCGGGCCATTGCCTCATGGGCTTTTCATAAAGCTTCAGTGATTTTTGCCATTCTTCTACCTAAGCTTTACCATGTATTTGATGTTTATTATAACTTAAATTTTAGCAGAATTCATGCTTCATTGATAGACTCTTTTCAATGCATATCTTGTTTTTCTTAGTAACTCAAACTAGACACTTGATAATACATCAGAACTAGTTTAATTTGATACATTTGGCACCAAAATAGTTGTTTCATGATATGCATTCTTATGAGTTTTTAAATGACTATTCATTTCTCTTGAAGACTCTGCTTTCCAGGGCGGCATTGTGGTAAAATAGGTTAAGCCATCCCATACAGGTGCCAGTTTGAGTCCTGGCTGCTCCGCTTCTTATCCAGCTCCCTGTGAATACACCTGGGATAGCAGTGGAAGATGGCCCAAGTCCTTGGGCTCCTGCACCCACATGGGAGACCCAGAAGAAGCTTGTTTCTTGGCTTCAGCATGACCTAGCACCAGCTGCTGTGGCCATTGGGGGAGTGAATCAGCAGATGGAAGATATCTCTCTCTCTGTATCTCTCCCCCTTTCTCTTTAACTCTGGTGTGCCTTTCAAATCAATAAAATAAATCTTTTTTTAAAAAAAGGTTCTGCTTCAGTTCTTTGGTGTGTATACCTAGAAAAGTAACTGCATTATCTGTTTGGCAGACTCTACAATATATGAAGATAATATTGCATATATTTCCCTGCCTCTACTATCCCCCCTCCCTCAGGGTTCCATGAGAATTAAATGTATTTTAGGAGCTGGTGCTGTGGCGTAGTGGGTAGAGCCTCTGCCTGCAGTACCAGCATCCCCTACAGGCACTGGTTCCAGTCCTGGTTGCTCCACTTCTGATCCAGCTCTCTGGTATGCCCTTGGAAAGCAGTGGAGGATAGCCCAAGTCCTTGGTCCCCTGCACGCACATGGGAGACCTGGAAAGAGCTCCTGGCTGTTGGCTTCAGATTGGCACAGCTCTGGCTTCTGCAGCCTTTTGGGGGTGAACCAGCTGATGGAAGATCTCTCTCTCTCTCTCTCTCTCTCTCTCTCTCTGCCTCTCTGCCTCTGCCTCTCTGTAACTCTGCCTTTCAAACAAATAAATATTTTTTTAAATGTTTTGTTTTTTCTTTCCTTTGTTTCTCCTTCCTTTCTATGGGCCCTTGGAGTATCTATCAACAATGTTATCAGATAGGGGTAAGGCAAGCATTCTATAATCTAATGCCTAGGTTTCAGTTTTTGGGTGGACCTCTCCCTTGGAATGTGAACATCATCTAGACCCCTCTGTTCCTCCCACTTTAGGTGTGGTTGGATCACTGGAGGAGTTTGGATTTGGGTGTTTCTCTTCCAGCACAAATAAAGCTAGGGCTCTCTGGAGTTGTGTATTGTCCTTCACGGTGGTAATCTACAATCTGATAAATCCCCAGCAGGTTAGACTGTTGGAAAATAGTTTCTCCTGAGGTTAAGCCTTATTAAATATAACTGAACAGACTGGTGTATTACAAAATGTTTCCTTTTCCCCTCCACTGCCAGAAGCACCAAACGAAGTTTTTCTAATATTCAGTGTGTATGTGGTAGAGCTCCTGGAGGTAAAACTCACAAAAATGAGTTTTTGACTGGGCCTCCTAGAAATTTTCTCTCTCAGGCTTGACCACAGTGAGCCTCCAGCACTTTATAAATTACAGTTCCGATTCTCTTACTCTAGCACTGGCTCTCACAGAGGTTTCTACTGTAATATGCTTTAATTCTTTTTAAGTGTCTACTTTTTGGGGGAAGTACCTTGTCCTTTCACTTCAATTCACTGCTACATCAATGAAGAGTTGTTGATTTTTCAGTTTGTTCAGAACTATATTTGTTATTACAATTGACTGGCAACTCCTTAACCCCTAACATGCTAGACCAGAACTGGAAGTCCCACTTTACAACTTCTATAATGTGCTGAAATTGTCATCTTAATCATGTTATTTACAGCTGTTTTCATGATTGTGTTTGTTAAAATCAACATTGGGGACTCCTATATAGACTCCTATATATTGATTTAATTAACTGTTGATGTTGGCCACCTGGTCTTACGTCACAGTAGGCATGTTGTTTTTATCTTAGGCCAAGTATTGTGTATGAAATGTTGTAGAAATATACAGAGGTTCTAAACTGTAACCTTCCTTCAAAAAGGATTTACTTTTCCTCCCTTCCAGCAATTATGATACGGGCAGTACACCTCTGAAAACCATGTGCCTGATCTGATTAGCAACTGGGTTTCATTCTTTGAATGAGTCCACCCCCCCACCCCCCACCCCCACCCGGCTGAGATGAGGTGGTGTTGTTCCCTTTCTTTTGCAAAGTGGAAAGAAAGGTGATCCACAATATAAGTAGTTTTAGGACTAGTGTAGAGGGAGTCTGACACTCTTGGAAGATTCTTTTAGGCCAACGGATGTAGCAAACCCCACTTTGGAGTTCACTGACACAGGGCTAGCCTCAGGCAGTGAGCACTGGGGTTCACTGGAGTGGCTGGTTGCTGTCGGCAGGATTTTTCACTTTGGGAAGATCTTGGGGATCAATTTCCCTGAATCTTAGGTAGGTCTTGGGATGGCCCAGAGAGGATTTCAGGCCTCTTGCCCAGTCAGGTTGCCCTGTAATGGTTCTTTCTGCCCCCTTGTTCCAGGCTGCGGTGTGTATTACAAGTCTTCTTGGAATCGGCTACAGGACCTGTGCCACTTGGCCAAGCTTTCCTGTCCTGTCCTCAGTATCTCTAAGAGGGACCTCTATGACTTTGAAGTTGAGTACTCAATTATGGAGGCTGAGAAGTCCCATGATCTGCCATCTGCAAACTGGAGACCCAGGAAGCCTGGATATGACATTCAGTCCAATTCCAAAAGCCATGAGAGAGGAAGCAATGGTTAACTCCCAGTGGTAGCCCAAAGGCTCAAGAACAGAGGGAGCCTCCGGGACACTGGTATACTCCCAAAGTGAGAAGGCCCAAGATCCCAAGCTACCACGTAACTAAGGAAGATGAAGATGGCTCACCTGCTGAAATTACCACAGCGCGTTCCCAGCTCGCGACGCGGCCGGAAAGCAAGGCAGCGGAAGCGCCCGGGGAAGGAGTGGGCCGGCCGGCCAGCCGCAAAGTGGGCCAGCGGGCCAGCCGCAGACCCACCTCCCGGCCTCGGCGCGTTGGTACACAGGAGCCCGGGTGGCGGGGAACGGGTCCCCGCGGTTCGAGGCAGGGCCCTGAAACGTCCCCGGAGGCCTCCGGCGTCTGCTCCCTGCTGCCACCCGTGTAGCTTTGCCCCGTGGGCGAGCCCTCGAGGCCTGCGTCGTGCCCTCGGCGCCGCCGGCGCTTCAGCGCAGCCTCCATCTTGGGTGTCAGCATGGCGAGCACCAGCGGCGCCGAGACCAGATTCGTTGTGGCAGACAAATACAAGCTGCTAAGGAAGATAGGGTCTGGTGGCTTCGGGGACATTTTCCTGGCTGTTAGCGTCACCGACGGCAAGCAGTGGGCCGTGAAGCTGGAGTCGCAGCACGCCGCGAGCCCCACACTGCGGGAAGAGCACCGACTCTACAAGATTCTCCAGGGTGGGGTCGGCATCCCCCGCATCCAGTGGTATGGGCAGGAGAGAGACTATAATGTGCTCGTCATGGATCTCCTGGGACCTAGCCTCGAAGACCTCTTCAACTTGTGTTCCAGAAGGTTCACGCTGAAAACTGTCCTGATGTTGGCCGACCAGATGATCACCAGGCTGGAATATGTGCATACGAAGAACTTCATACACGGAGACATTAAGCCCCATAACTTTCTAATGGGTACTGAGGGCTCCTGTAGGAAGTGTTTGGAATCTCCAGCGCGGAGGAGGAAGAGAGGCAGAGCTGCGAGTGCCTCTCGGGACCCCTCCTTCGCGGTACAGGACCAGGTATTCCTCATTGATTTTGGGTTGGCCAAAGCCTACCGAGACAGCAGGACCAAGAAACACATAGCGTGCAGCGAGGCCAGAGTCTTCATTGGCACCGCTCAGTATGCCAGCATCAATGCACATCTCCGGATGGAGCAGAGTCGCCGAGATGACATGGAGTCCTTAGGCTATGTTTTGATGTATTTTAACAGAGGCAGCCTGCCCTGGCAACGAGTAAGGGCTGCAACAGTGAAGCAAGCTTTTGAAAAAATCCGTGACAAGAAGATGTCCACGCCCGTTGAAGTTTTATGCAAGGGGTTCCCTGAAGAGTTTGCCACGTACTTGAAGTATTGTCGTGGACTGAAGTTTGAGGAAGCCCCGGATTACACGTATCTGAGGCAGCTCTTCCGCAACCTTTTCGGGACCCTGAACTACCAGTATGACTATGCGTTTGACTGGACAGTGTTAAAGCAGAAAACAACAGCGCAGGCGGCATCTTGCAGTGTCAGGGCAAGCAGATCCAGAGCCCCAAAGGCAAGGAAACTGAGAAAACCAAGAGCAACTTAAAAGGTTCGTAAGCGTGAGGCGTGCAACAGCAGCAGCAGAGGAGACCATAGGAGCGGCAGTGTTTCTCCCCAAATCTAGGAATTTTCGTTCATGTCTATATTAGTCAGTGGTGCCAAGAACTTAATTTCATCATAGACAGTCCCCGGGCAGCATTGGTGATGCTTTCTGTATCTTGAGTTGTAGCTGATGTAATTGTATTTACTTCCGAGATAGTGAATGATACTGTCTGATTTTCTTTTGCTTTTTGTTTCTCAAGTGAAAAAGTTAACTAATGGTTTGCACGTGAAAACTGGTGGAGACATTGTACAGATGTCACAGTTTTGTAAAAAGGTTTTGTTTTGAACTATAACTGCTTTGAAACTTTGTTGTAGAAGAAAGCATGAACAGTCTTCAGCCACCTTATTAGTGATTATAACTTCTCTATTGTGGATCTTGGGGTTTTTGTATCCTTGGGTTTGATCAGAGCAGTATTTGTTTCTCTCCAAATTAGAAATTTTTGTTCATATGTACGTTAGCCAGTAGTGTAAAGAACTTATTGTGAAGAACTTAATTTCATTATAAGCTGACCCTGGGCAGCATTGTGATGCTGTTTTGTGTCCTGAGTTATAGCTGCTGTAATTGTACTAACTTAGATGTGAAACATGGTTTCTGGCTTTCTATTTCATTTATTTTTTCAAGTGGAAAAGTTAACTAAATGGTTGACAAACACAAATTGGTGGAGAAATTATGCATATGCTAATTTTTTTTTTTTTTTACTTTAAACTTCGCTGCTCTGAAACTGTATCACAGAAGGCATGAATAGTCTTCCACCATGGTTGTTATGATTGTAAATTCTCCAAATGTTGGACTATTACGTTTTTTATTTTTTGAAAGGCAGAGTTACAGAGGCGTGGATAGAGAGAGAGAGAGAGAGAGAGAAAGAAAGAGGTCTTCCATCTGCTGGTTCACTCCCCAAATGGCTGCAGTGGCCGGAGCTGAGCCAATCTGAAGCCACTTGATAGTGGCTTCCTACAAGTCTCCCACTCGGGTGCAGGGGCCCAAGTACTTGGGCCATCTTCTACTACTTTCTCAGACCATAGCTGAAAATTGGATCGGAAGTGGAGCAGCCAGGATTCCAACTAGTGCCCATATGGGATTCTGGCACTTCTGGTGGTGACTTTACCTGCTATGCCACAGCACTGGCCACTAGGCTTTTTCTACCCCAGGGTTGCGTAGTGTTACTCATTTAATACATTCTGCAAATGGTTTTGTTCTTGTTTGCAAGGTAGTTGATATGGTAGCAACCAAATATTCCAGTGTTTGAGCATATGAAAGACTGCCTGCTCACCTGTGCTAGAAATAATAGTATCTGTTTCCATCTGATTATAGCTCTTGCCTGTATTTCTGCTGAACTAGGATCATTTTACTTCTTACTTGTTGATCTGTTTATTTAGTGAAGTATTAAGCCCTTAAGCATAATGCTAAATAGATATATTACCTCCAAAACTAAAAAGAAAGAAAGGGATAGGAAGTGAGGGCAAAGGTGAGAGGGAGGAAGGAAGTATCCTTAGATATTTAGAATTGTAACTAGGAATTATATTGAATGTTTTCTGATTGTGTTAATATTATATTAAAATAGAAAGAAAAACTTGGTGACTACTAGATAACCCTTAGGATACTGCATTAACTCTATGTTTTTTTATGTTAAAAAATAAAAAGCTTAATTTTTACAGAATTTTTGTTAAGATCTTACAAGTGAACATTTGTGTATGTTGCTTAAATAAATGCTATCATTATAAGCATCTGAAAAATTAAAGATTCATATTTAAAGTCAGGCTCCTTTAATGTAATTATTTTTGGGAAAAATGGAAACACAAAGAATATACTAATTTTCCCACACTCTGCCTCTTATAGACATCAGAGGATAGCTGATATTTATCCATGGCCTAAAAATCCTTATCATATTGAATTGATGATTCCCATAAACATTTTCTTCATTTATACAATACAAAATGTACAAATGCTATTTCAATGTGTTTTTAAAGATTTATTTATTTATTTGAAAGGCATATTTACAGAGAGGCAGAGGCAGAGAGATAAAAGGAGAGAGGGACAGAGAGAGAGGTCTTCCATCTGCTGGTTCACTCCTCAAATGTCCACAATGGCTGGAGCTGGGCTGATCCAAAGCCACAAGCCTGGAGCCTCTTCCAGGTCTCCCACATGGGTGCAGGGGCCCAAGGACTTGGGCCATCCTCCACTGCTTTCTCAGGCCATAGCAGAAAACTGGAGCAGCTGGGACTCGAACCAGGACACATATGGGATGCCAGCACTGCAGGCTGTGGCTTTACCAGCTATGCCACAACACCATCCCCCAATGTTAATTTTTGAAAAATGGGAGAAAAATAATTCAAGGCATTGTTCTCTTGGGTCATCACTTTGTTAATGGATAAAGGGGCCTTCTTGTCTCCCTTCTTTTGTAAGAGTCCAATTTGGAAGGGATTCTTTCTTTCATGTTTTGTTAATTAATTAATTAATTTACTACAGTTTATTTTAAAGCAAGAGAGAAAGGCAGAGACACAGATTTTGTCTCTGCTGGTTCACTCCCCGAATACTCTGAACAGCAGGGTCTCGGTCAGTCTGAAGCCATGAACCTGAGATTTAATATGGGTCTCCCACACGGAAGGTAGGGATCCAGATATTTGAGCTATGACCTGTTGCCTCTTGGGCTGTGCATTAGCAGGAAGCTGGAATCAGGAGATGCAGCAGGGCATTGAATCCAGGCATTCTGACATATCTTTAACTGTTGTGGCCAACACCCATATCCTAGAGCCTGATTTTACAAATAATGTCCATTTTCTACTATCCATTCAAATAATTTTCATGTACTCCCTGCCTTTCTCTGGACAGTCTGTGTTCTCCAGAATCACACCTTTTGCCCAAATCAGTGATATGATTCCAAGGAATTAAACCTAGATCAGCAGTAAAAATATAGCACCACCTAAGACTAAATTGATAGCTGAGAAATTAAGGGGCCCTGCTGATGGGTAACCATGTGTGTAGGTCATTTCATCAGATAAAGCTGTGACTGGGGAACTGAAAACAAGAAAAAGTTGATGCTAGGCTATGTAGACTCTACAATTATACCATGAATATGTTGAAAAAATGAAGTATTAGTGACATGGCAACAACCGCTACCACTAACAACAATCCTTAGACAAACAGAAGACAGAGTCAGTTATAGGACAAAGACAAAGATTTAATAGAGCAAAGATGGTATAAAACCTAGCTTAAGCCTGAAAAGAAGAAGAGCTTGAGGTACCTGAATAACAAAGCAGATTGGACAATCAAGAGCCTAATACTCTGATTATATTGGTTTTCCATTTTTGATAGGCCTGGGTTAGAAATTTGCCTCACAATGTTATTTTTGTTTACTTTTTTATCATTTTGTAATATTTGCTTCATATTTAAGTGTTGAATTGTACATATACCTATTATTTTTAAAGAAGCCACAGATATATTAATATCACATAATGAATTCATGACCAAGGTCATGAAATGAGAAAAGAAGATGTGTTTTAAACTAGAGTATAATTCAGAGTAAACATTTATAAATATCTACCTAAGAAATAATATGTCAACATTTTAAAAGTATATATGTATATTAACATTCACATATGAGAGAAAACTTGTAGTATTTTTCTTTTTGTGTCTGACTTACCTCATTTAGCATAATCAAGTCCAGTTCCATCCAGTTTATTGAAAATATCAGAATTTAATTCTGTTTTTATGGCTGAGTGATATTCTATCATGTGTATATGTGTATCCTATTTCGCTATTCATCAGTTGAGCCATGTAGATTGATTTCAGCTCTTTGCTATTGTAAAAAGTATTGCAATAGGTACAGACCACCAGTATATATTTCATATGTTAACTTCATTGCCTTTGTATATTTCACAGAAATGGAATAGCTGGGTCATATGGTAATTCATTTTCAGATTTTGAAGAACAAACATACTGCCCTCTCTCGGGCTGCGCATTAGCAGGAAGCTAGAATTTGGAAGCAAAGTTGGGCATTGAACCCAGACACTCTGAAATGTCCTAATGTGCCATAGACCCACAACTAGGATAGTCATGGCTGTAAACTTTCCTCTTCATACAACTTTTGCTGTATCCTACATTTTGATATGTTATGTGTCCCTTTTATTAGATGACTGGTTGCTCTTTCAGGAGCATGTATTTGTGTAACATCTAGAGTTTCTTTTGTTTGCAATGTCCAAATTTATTCCACTGTGGTCAGAAATGGTACATGATATGCTTTTTTGCCTTTTTAAAGATCTACATAACATTTTTATTATGAAAATTTAGTATAAATATTTATGAAATTCACAAAGTCCAAAGAATTTAAAATTAACAAACTGTCCAAAGTAGAAATGAGTAATCTCAACATTCCCCTATCTGTTAAAACAATTAAACCATAATTAAAAACTTTTTCATAAATTTTTTTATTGGGAATGAGTTTCATTGGTTAATTGTATTAAACATTCATAAAATAATAACACTCATCTACTCAAACTCCTTTATATACTAGGATAAATGAAAAAAAAAAACTATTCATCTAATGAAAATAGCTAAATGTTCATACTCTTATTTAACCAGTCAGTGAAAGAACAGAAATTTGCAGGCAACTTTTTTAAAGTTCTGTTTTAAAATCTTTAGTTTTAAATTTTCAATTATTTTTTAACAGAGTCGATATAATTTATAGATACATTTATTTTTAAAGATTTATTTATCTGAAAGGCAGAGTTACAGAGAGGAGGGAGAGATGGGGAGAGAGGGAGATCTGTTGCAGTTGGTTTCTCAACAATGTTGCAGTGGATTCCTTTCTGAGAGGAGGAACGTGGTGGGGGTAAGAGGTGCGAAGTCACCATACAGACCCTGGGAGTTGGATGAAAGCAGGCTTGAGGCAAGCAGCCCGCAGACTAGTTTATTTCAGTTGGTACAACATCTTATATAGCCAAGACCAGCCAATCTGGTCAAGGGGCGGTCTATGCCCCAACCAATCACAGCCTGTTGCCAGGCAGGCTCCATTG